AAGAAGCTCAACGGTATACCAGTAGTAGCAGTCGTAGCTGGGGTAGCGTGTGGCAGTGGCTGTAACCGGGGCCGTGGTAGTCACAGTAGCAGTTGTTGTTGTCGTAGGAGACAAGGACCGGAGTAGGAATCGGAGTCGGCGCAGGTGCTTGCACGGGAAAGGGCGGGAGGAAGCGGTAGTAAGAGCAGTCGTCGTCGACGACATCGTCGTAGTAGTAGTCGTCGTCGTCCTACGTAGCGATGTAAGTACATAGTACATAGTACGTACAATAGTGTAGTATGTAGTACGTAGTGCGTAGTACGTGGTATCCGTGCTTCGTAGTACGCAGCAGTACCAGCAGCAGCAGTAGCAGTAGCAGCAGCAGTGGCAGTAGCAGCAGCAGTGGCAGTAGCAGCAGCAGCAGCAGCAGCAGTAGCAGCAGCAGTAGCAGCAGCATGAGCTGTAGCAACAGCAGTAGCAGTAGCAGCAGTAGTAGTAGTAGTAGTAGTAGTAAAGTAGTAAAGTAGTAGTAGCAGCAGTAGCAGTAGCAGCAACAGCAGCAGCAGCAGTTGCTGCAGCGGCAGGAGTAGTAGAGCTGTGCTAGATTGTTGCTCCTCCTGTTGTTGTTGCGGTACAGTAGCTGTTGCTGTGTTGATGCTCATGCTGTTATTGACATCGATAGCTTTGCTGCCGTCGCTGTTCGCATTGTTCTCGCTACTATGGTGTCCAGTCTACAAGTAGTCGCCGCTGTCATGGAAGCCCTCGTCAAAAGTGCGCGTGATCATGTTGATGATGGTCGTGGTGGTGGAGGCACATGGAGGTCTCAGTGAGGCGACCGTCAGCGCAAGCATCAGTCTCGTCTCTTCAGTTGAGGTATCAGGACTGCAAGGAGTGCAGCACGGCAACATCAGCGCAGCAGCTAGAGTAGCAATAACATGACCAGCGTGCTCATAACTACTGGTTACGATCTTCCACACGCTCCTCTGAACCTGCCACGACCACCACCAGCATCACCACCACCAACGCGATCACCGTTGCAAACCTGACAATCATCATCGCCACCACAAAGCGCACCCTCCCTGACATCGCCCCTGCCAACCATAACGTACAGGGCTCGGAAACAGGCACGAGCTGCACTCATGCCACTTGCCCAGCCTGTGGTCGCGCTGGGGTCACTGCCAGGTCCAGCTTGCCAGCACGTGGCACTGTCTTCCTGCCCTCAGACAGACCAACCACGGCTTCGGATAATCTTGGGGAGTGCGAGTTTTTGACGCGCGAACGGAAGTGGAGAAAGCTGTTGCACAAATGGCCAATGGCCTGGCTCGAAAGGTGGAACAACTAACCCCGCCAAGACCGCCTGAGCCTGAGCCTTGCGAAGCAAGTTGGCAACTTTGGAAGCCCTGCACCAAAGGAACTGAAGCCAAACGACTAAACGGATCGACATCAATTCAAGTCCAGACCCTTAAACTCGATCTGAGCTTTATTTATCGGTTGGCAGAGCCCATTCAGTTGCAGTCCGAGTGTCCAGTTGGCGCCTTGCAGATTTCGGGTGTGGATTCTCGGAGAATGGGGTTACTCTTGGAATGATGCCGACCTCTCAGGTAGGGGTACAGGCGGGGTCTTCTTGTCCTAAAAAGGGAACTGCCCCAGTGCCAGCTTTGCCCTCAACGGACTTCGCAGCCTCTCCTCCAACAAGTTGCCTCAACAACTCCACCATTCCGCCAGAGGACACGAAAGGAACAAATTTGGCTAAATATCTCCAGCGGCTGATTTCTTCATATCCCATACCTCCCATTCCCCTGCCTCTTTGCGACAACGCCTGATGCCAAGACTGCAGCACCCACAGATAGCACCAAGTCACCTCAAGAACCACAACAGGTTTTGGACGGAGCTGGACTGTCGCCTCTACACTGACTCTACACTCTACACTCGATGAGCAGAGCTCCGACGTCTACGGCCTTCTTTCAGTCGCTCCGGCAGCTCGGCCGCTGCTCGCTCGGGTGTGAAGGCCAGCCTTCTCTCAGGGAAAAATGGTAACCCAATAGTTGCGGCAATCACAGCAGTTGGGCCCAGCAACATCCTCTGTTGAAACACCCCCGGGCTACCTGTCTTTTTCTGCTCTGGACTCTTCATTGGACATGGGCCAGGCTTCATGCTGACTGAAAACTGGAAGTCTCAACCCAAGCAAGGAACCGACCAGAAGACCCGAGGACAGCATGCACTAAACGTGCAACTGTGCCTGGCGATCGGCACCTCGGGCGACGCCGCGACGAGGGCGAACGCCTTGTCTTCTAGCGGATGCTTCAATTCCCGACGTGTCCCTTGCACAGCCTCCCAACAATGCGACGCGATGTACGATCTAGCAATCTGAGCAGTCAAGGGTTCCGGTCAAGCAATTACAAAGATGTGCAAAGATTTCAGAAATCCGAACAGGCACAATCTGGCACATATCAATCAACTTGAGGGGCGGGGCCAGGGGAACGAAAGCTAGCCTAGGTTGGAAGGACGGCAAGCGATACAGAGCTGGCTAGGCGGGCTCCAAGCATCATCACATCCAACCCATCAGCAACGGAAGGCAAACAGAGCTGACGAGGCGGGCAATCAGCAACAGAAGCAGAGGGGAAACAATTAAACAAAGCTGACGAGGCAGGCTCCATCAGCAACGTGGGGGAAACAGAGATGGCATCATCACTTCCGGCACATCCAGCCACGTCAACAATTCAGCAGAGAGAAAAACGCAAGGCGTACAGGAACACAGGCAACGCAGGTGTCTCTTTTGCTACAGACGCACAGCTGTAGCTTGAGCACAGACATGGATACATGCACGTGAGACTGACAGAGCCTGGATGTGTAACGTTTCAACCGGGCACATATTTAAAACACGTACTGCATGGCCGTGAAGTCGGCATTCAACATTGTCTGTATTGCCCAAGCGAATTATGACAGCGGAGTAACATGAGCTACAATTGTAATTTGAGAAGTATACATCTGTACATCTCTTGCCTGGAGACAGCTGGGATCTTCGGTTCAAAACTCAAACTGAAAAAGATTGCCCACTTGTTCACTTACCTTTCCAAGAAAAAACGCCGGATGCACAGAAAGAGTAGAGCATAGCTCCACTTGATGCCAGCTATGGCATATTGCGGCACGAGAGAATCGTGTGATTCTTATGAGTATCTTCTCCAGTAGGAAGTATCTCATTTCTTCTTTGGGCAAATGTTGAGGGGAAGTACCTTTTTCTGTGAAAGCATCTTCCTCGGGAAATGGAAATCGCACTCAAGCAGGATACCTTCCCCAGCGAGAGGCATTCCTTTAAAAACACTCAATCCACTAGTTCGGACAAAGGATCATATTGACCCGCCTGAGGAAATCGTCCCCCGCCTCTTTCGTAGGCCATCTGCAGAGGATCATCATGATGATAATACCATCGTTGGACACCTTCGGTTTGAGCAGAATAACGACAAGCAGGATCAACATCAAAAGGAGGTACTGGGTTCGAAGGATCGACATCAAAGATGATCTCGTCCCTCGTGGTGTGGCCAGAGCCTAGTCAGTACTCAGTACTTCCCTTTGCCCTTGCCTTTGTCTTTGCCCTTGGAGGACTTGCCTCCTTTGCCGACTTTGCCAGATTGGGCTTTCCCACCAGGAGGATGTGCGGGTTCGGCTGGACGTTGTGAGCCAGAGGCGGCTGCACCAGAAACTCCCTCTCCCTGTGGAGAGCCTGTTCCCGTCGGTGCTGGCTCGGTTGAACCACGAGCCTTGTTCGCCTTCTGTCTCAGCTTTCGTCGGTCTGCTTTCTCCTTGACCGTGTCGGGGTTCCGACTCATAGCTCTCATCCCCCCACCAGTGTACTGGTTCGCATGCACCTCGATGAGAAGAGGAGTATGAGAATCATAGTCCCGGTCGTTCAGAAGATAGTTTGCCGAAGTGGAATTCAGAAGCCATTCAGAGGCGCTGACTTTGTAATAATTGGGGCGCAGGAAAGTCAGCCCCTTGATCATCTGTCATCGAGTGGCCCCACTCCAGAACGGTGGTAACCATCGGATCCAGACCTGGAAACGTGTTCCAGTCGGGCTGTTGACAATCCCCGGTATGGCTTACCCAGCTGGTCCTCATACTGCTTCAGGAGGCATAAGCCGTTGGCAGAAATGTGTTGTACCCTCGGGCAGCACAGAGGCATGCACTTCGGGCTTTCTGACCAAGCCTCCAAAAAAGTAGCCCAGAGTACTTTGGTATAAACCTCCTCGAATGTCAATAGACTCCTGCTTGGATCCAGACGATCCAGAGTACCGGTAGAGAGCCATGTTGGCGTCGCCAACAATAAGGTCCACTTGATAGTGCAGGCGGTCCATGAACATCGAGGCAAAGCACTCGTGTGCAAGACCGACCTTCTTGTTCGCCACCTTGCTGTCCATGTGGAATACGCAGACACGCATGGTGTCCATGCCAGCTCTTGTAAGGGGCGAAGTCATCGTAGAAGGTGGAAAGTCTCCTCGGTTGCCTTGTGAGCCCTGAGGCAGGGTCTTGCCGAAGACACTGTCCACAATCATATATGAAAGTGGAAGATGATGATGGGCTACCCCGACCAGTGTCGAGCCTGCCACTTGCATCATCTTGGACCCAACCGTATTGGGTCCTGCAACCGACCAAGAGATCTGTTCCTGGATTGCGCACGGATGCGCACGGTCTCCCAGCCTCCTTCATGGAGGAATGCGAGCTCTGTGTCATTGATTTCGCCGGCCTCGCACAACATGAATATGTGGGCCTGGGCCTGAACGATGGCTCTTTATCAGCAAACCTGCCCTCACCCCGCTGTCGTCGTAGTCGATGAAGTCGGCGTAGTTGGAGCGGTTGCGGTTACGAGCCAAGCTTCCCAAGTTGAGAACGAGAGCCGTATACTTTGTCTTGCTGGCGGAGACAGGCACACGGCCATCCTCTGCAAGACCAAAGCGGTGAAGAATAGGATTCGGCATCTTATCCAGTGATAAGTCACCGATTTCCTGTTCATCCACACCAGCCGCCAGGAAGTAGTGAAGCTTCGCGTTCACGAGTTCGTCCCGTGTGGCAGCACAGTTGGCTTGGCTCAGTTCTCTGACTCGCTCGGGAAGAGCTTGGTTGACTTCCAACGTCTCCTCACGGGCCTTGGAAGCCTTGGCCATTTGGCGATCATCCAATGTGCTCCGAACATCTCCGGCCCTGAAGACAACGTCCTTGCGTTCCGGTCGACGGGAATAGACTGGATCCATTTTTAGGTCCTCCTCCGAAAGGTGGAGTTTGTGCTGAGGGTGCCGAGATGCCGTTTGACGCCATCTCATATGCTGCAGCTTGAAGGATCCAACCTCGTCGACGCGGACGCCATCGTGGTACAGACCAGATTGGCCGCAACCATACTGCTGATCGGCTAGCCTCATGAGACTACTGCGCTCGATCCGGTAGTGGTCGCGGACGAAGGCCTTGTACTCCTCGGTGCCCTCGAGGCCGAGCTTCTCACTTGCTTCCGCGAGGTTTTCGAAAGCCTTCTCATTGTTGGCTTCCGCTGTCGAAGTAGCTTTGAAGCTGGCTTCGTAGGCCTTGGGGTCGACGACGTTTTTCTGCTGCCCCCAGATGCCTCGGTCATGAAGAGTCTCTTCATCTGTTGCATCGTTAGAGGACGCTCAGTAACCCGCCAACCATCTTCCTGAGTGACGACTCTGTTCTTGGCAAACTGCATGATCGTTTTGCAAGTAGTGTCCAAGAGTTCCAGTGGGACAGGCATCTGTCCTTCCTTGGGGTCGTATTTGACCTTCCTCGTCTTCTTGTGCACGCGGATCAGTTCCATATTGATCTCGTCGATCAACCACTCATCATCTGTCGCGAAGACGAGATTTTTGGGTTCCTCTTCCAGTGAAGAGCGTCCCCGGGTCTTCTGATGAAACCCGTACTCGGAATGCGAGAAGCATGTGGGGAAGCTCGATTTCTTGTGTTTGTCGAACCGCACCTGCCACATGTATTGACTGAGTTCAAGAAGATCAAGTACTAGATGCGAGCTAGGCGCAACCTGAGGAATCACATTCTTGATTCCCTGTACTGGACTGCTCAAACACGCCTTGTCCGGATGGAGGTCAAACTGGAACCTCAGGTTTCGCATCTGAGGCAGGGACATCAAGGTTGGAGCGTCAGAAAATACAAACATTCAAGTCATTAGACGTTTTCGAGCACGGGTGCAGCAACGAAGCCGTTGCATTCCAAGACCAGAGAGACAAACCGACTTCTTGAGCTTCAGGATACACATGATGTCTCCAGTGATCCGGACGACTCACCCCCAGGTGATGATCCGAGACAGAACCCAAACACTCATGCTTACTGGGACAATCTCCACAGAGATGCTCTCAATTCGAGTGGAGACCAGACAGAGACATCATGGCCGTCGGGACCAAAGAACGAGCCTAAGGCCAAAGCCAACAGCTCACAAGCTGGAGCCGCTAAGGCCAAGCCAGAGGCAGAACCGAAGGCTAATCCAATTTCACCAGCACCGGAGGACGTTGATCCTAATGTTCCTGCTCTCACAAGAGCAAAACCGTCTTGGTTTGGGAATTCCCAGTGCGGACGAGAAAGCATATGATGGTGCTGATTCCGATCCCGACGAAACGCATCCGCAACAAGACACGGAAAGTTACAGGCACGAAAACTAGATTCCGACAGGAGCAGTCTTGCCCAAAAGTGTTTTACCCTCGCAACAGTAATAAACAGTCTGCATTTACTGAGCGCGTGGGACCTGATTCTGCGCAGCTAGATCTCTCCTAACTCAGAGCTTGCACAAAGTGAAGCAAAAACGCCGAGCGCGCAATAGCGCGCACTACCTCTTGCAAACTTTTTGACACTGTGTTACTTAACCATATGTAGTAGAGCCCAATTTCACTTCGCATCATGCTTGATGTCTATTCGGAAATTCGCTATGACACATACCTGTGAGTGGAGAAAGGTAGAGTCTTTGTTCTAAAATCCTAGACGCCCCTGGCCATCAGGACTTGCAGTCATGTCATGTACATTCAGCAATGTCATAACACTTGCATGTATGCGCCGTAACCTTTTGTCTCTCATGGGGGCAAAGGGGGTGCCGGTTTTGCTCGAAACATCAACTCGTTTGCGTCCTGGCCGGCGGTCGTGGCCCACTGCTTACGCAGATAGAAACGAAGGCCTCGCTACGCTAGCTTTCGTGATTAGAAGCCGCATCGTCACCTTTCGCCACCGCTAAAGGCTCGCACGCACCGCAAGGCACACTATTCCGGTTTCAGGAAGTTTGAAGCTTCGTTATGACTCGCTGCGCTCTCACGGCCTGCAAAGCTCAGGGAAGGGCTGCGTTTGCTTCTTCGGTCGCAAAGCGCGGAGGCTGCTTGTCTCCTACCTGCCGTTGCCATGGGGCAAGGTGATAAGCCCCAGCCAAACTCAAGTATCTCTTCCTGCCTTGGCTTGAAGCTGCCAAATGAGGCTACGTTTGTCGCAGGTCAACCGCTTCAAGAGCAGTGTTTTGCCTCAGTCGCTGAGGATCTGCAAGTATTGGTCGATTGTTCTGGGCCCTTTGCTCTTACTACTGACATTGTCCTCCAACCTCACCTGGCATGAAAACAAAGGCCCGAGACTTAAACACGCCACGGAAGGGCCTGATCTTCTGCAAGGCCAAGTAGTGTTCGAAGAAAGCCGCTGAGTTCTCGGTTCCCACGCCTGGAAACTACCAGAACTACTCCCCCACTCTCTCATAGAGGGAAGCAGCGGACCCCCGTTTGTTCGGCTCGCCGATGCTGACCACGACCACGTCGGAGTTTATCTGAACACCGAGGCTTCGACGTTACTCGCATGGCAGGAGAGCTTTGGGACAAGCAGCTATCGAAAACGTCGGCGACTGCCTCCTCAATGCAATTGTGTGGCTGTCCGGCTCGAACTACCAGTGTCAGCTTGGCATCGCAGAACCCTTGCTCATCCTGCAGGGGAAGGCTTCAACACAGAACGACAGGGGGCAATGCACGCACAAGGCTCCTTGGGTCCGAATTGCACGGAAGACCAACCTGCAGTTTGGGAATTTCCAAGCAGGCCCTGTGCAGTTTTTTGTGGTCAGAAACAAGACAAGCCAGGTCCTGCATCGTAGCATCGGGTTTCGGCAATTGCAATCGCACTCGTGAACCCGGATACCCCAATTGCCAAAACTTCCGACATTCTCAGGGTGGTGCTGAGCATGGACGGCAGCGTGCGACCACGTTGCCCATGCTGGCACGTATAAACCGGCCCCTCACATGCCGGGGGTAGGGCGCGTTTTCTCTTGAGCCATTCCAGCTGGAGGCAGTCTCAGAAGATTCACTTCACGATACATCGGGCGGAAGTTGCACGTACCCTCTTGGCCGATGGCTTCGGGTTGCTGTGCCCCATGAGCTCGGCTTTCTGGTCTGTAGCGCGCTGAAGGTTCATCTCGTACATGTCGATCGTCTCCTCGGAGATCGCAGAGGGGCGGATGCAGATCTCCAGAGAAACAGATTCAGGAATCTAAACGCAAAAGTCGGCTCACAGGCCTGCAAGCCATGGTTCTCAGCCAGTGCCGTCTCCAATTCCTTGAGTCCACCAACATATCTTCATGGTGAAGAGAAACAAGGGGTGCGCACTGTCTTGAACTGCTGGAACGTGAGCAAGAGCTGTGCATTCTGCTGGTGCAAATCCTCGGTATTCAGGCCATGTTCCTGCCCACATCAGCGACACTGCTCCCAACACGATGTGACCAGCCTTGACTTCCACTTCCAAGCTAGAGATGTCCTTGCTGGCTCACTTCCCGCAAACTTGCGGACTCAAGTAACGACAACGATCACCGCCCCGAAATGACGGAAACGGCACGGCCACCGGCAACAAGCAGGAAAATCAAAATACCATCACGACTTGAGTTTTCGGGATACCGATTGGCATGCTGCAGAACCACTGCAGGTCTCTCTGAGAATGTTAGCAACGGAGCGGGAATGTCAAGAAGAAGAACCGTTCTGTCCGAAACTCTTACTCTTGTTAGCAGAACCAAACGCTGGGGAGACACTTCCGGCTTACTGCGAGCATGCCAAGGAGTGTCCCAAAGATACCCCGTTCCCACCCAAACGGGCTCAGTCCGACATCACTAAAGCAGTACCATAAATTTCTTGGCAGCCTGTGTTGAACAAATCCCAGCTTGCCAAGGTTACTGGTATGCGACTGCAACACATCAGCTGACAAACGCAATGCTGCCAAATCAAGCTTCTCAAATCCGCGCCTGGCTTTGCCGTTTTGCTCTGTCCTCGTCTCTCTGGAAGCTGAGAGCCTTGCAAAATCTTATTTGGCTCCAGAGCTTACATCCAGCCCTACCCTCACTCCGAGCACTCACCAAGCCCTGTTGAAGCCAGCCTTTTGCCGCCAATGCTCCAAGTCCAGCTTTAGCTCCTTCACCTGTGCTTCGGCTCGGTCCTCTCGAATTCGTAGTGCAAGACGGTTTCTACACCTGCACCGCTTGGACTTCCCCGGTCACATCACCCAGTCGCAGCCAGTCCTTGGCGCTTTTGGTCATGTTGGCATTTATCTCGGCGAACCTTGGTGCTGATGCAGCTGTTTTCATAGCATGACAGCCAAGCCATCTCACCCAGGCACTGCTAAGCCCGAGACTTAAGTCTGTCGACGTCTGCCTGCAGGCGTTCCTGCACTGGCATATGTCGCAGAACACTGCAACTGCATCGCATGCCCGTACTGAACTTCTTGAAGCGACATGGAGAGCAAGGACTGCAAACATGACATCCTTCGCAGTCACTGCATCTGCAAGTTCCGACTGGGTAGAACATAAATTCTCCTTGCACAGGTGGCAAAATGCAACAAACGAGCTCAGCGTCCGTTGTCTGCCGCTTTCGTCCTGAAGCTCCTCGACCTGCGGAAGTGTGCCGAGCAGACACTAGCAGCTGTACTCGTACTCCTACTGCTACTGCAAGGGGCAGTCTCAGTAGCATGATTTCGTTCCCCCAGCTGCCGTTACGCATAACGCAGCACACATCCCTGTGCGCCTCTGCTTTAGCTTAGCGGCTTAGCTTTTGCACTGAGCCATAGTACTTGTGAGCCCTTGCCGCTCCGCTCCTAGAGAGCTTGACCTTGCACTGTTCCGCCAGCGCGCACCAAAACAGTGTGACTGCTTTGCTGACGTAATTAATGGGTACATCAGCTTTGCTAAACCTCCCGCTGGTTGACCTTTGACTGGGTGGCATAAGCCAGCCACTTCTACCAGTTGGGGGCTGTTCTGGGAAACAGCGAAGATGCTACGAGTACGGTTCCACGCAACGTCCTCGACCGAGGTCCCTGTCGTTGGATGTCGCCCGTGCCGGGCCCCGGAGTGAGCCTCTACATCCGACGGCGAAGGTCAGTTAGTAACCAGCGTTACGGGACCTTCATCAAGGAACTCATAAGGCGGGCGGGCTGAGCGCGACTGCAAGTGAGGCAGCTGAGTTGTACCAGGTGGAGCCCCCGGTCTACGGCAGTGCCCGTACGCAGATGGCTTCCGCTCTTAGTTTGCATAGACAGTCGCGGTGACCGAGTTGCAGCGCCTGCTCCGCCCGAAGGGGGTGCCACACTGGCTGAGCTGAAAGGCTTTTCGAGCTCGTTTGACCCCGAGTCGACTCTGGAGTACGAGGCCTGGCTCCTGCAAAGAATCGAGATGTCGATAAACTGCAAGCACAAGGCCGTTAGTACTGCCGAGATCTCTCTTGGAGAAGCGCAGTTCCAAACAGCATACACGCGCGTTGTTAAATCGTGCCGCGCGACAGCAGCGGAGATTGGGCCCGACGGCCCTGACCACGCCCATTGCTGCCGGTATCAGTAAGCTGCCCCAGCAGCCTGGCGCCGATCCTGTGGCGATCTACTACCGGTACTAGGTGCCGCGGAGCGACTCTGCGGGTTGTGGGAGCCGACAGTCGCTTCGCGAGAAGGAGAATGCAAAAGGAAGCCCGGAGTTTGCCGTTCTGCCTCCGTGAGATCCTCTCACGGCTGTGGGATGTTGTGGGAGCATTGCGGGCTTGTGTCACCGGCCATATTTCCATGAAAGGACAACGAGGATGACACGCCGACAGCCCCTGACTTTGGGTAGGCCGATCTCTAAGGCTCTAAGAGGTCGAAGCTGTGATCCAGTGAGAGTGGCAGGCAACTCAAGCCATGCTCCTATAGGCACGAGTGTAGAGAGCCGCAGCACTCCGATATCACATCTTCGCACAACTCCGGACAGGACTCCGCACTTATGACTATTTGCCAGGAGATGCTGACACTCAAGGATGAGAAGTCCGTCTTCACGTTCAATCTCTGGGATGATTTGCCCATGTTCGGCGACGGCGACTCTGACTTCAACAAGCACTTGGAATCGTTTCATGTGTGCCTCTTGGTCAACGGCGAGAAGCTCCGGCTTTTCGCCCGTAGATTGAAAGGTACGCATCGCCGATGCTACGACATGGCCAAACACAGCGGGGACTATGAGGACAAACCCTCTGTGGTTTTCGACCGGGTGATAGCTGCCCCGGATGCCCCTTTCAACTTTCCAGAAATCGGACGAGGAGCAAACCTGAGATGGTTAGAAGCCCAACGCCATTGGGGTTCATGTATGTCATAAGTAGGCTCCTTCCTCCATGACGTGTCACGTGACAAACAACTTTGGCCCTCGAGGCCGTCCCCCGCCTCCGCGACGCCAAGGCCATGGAGGCTCAGAACACCAACACCAAGGCCGATGCTTCGCCCCCCAGTTGCAAGCGCAGCCACATCACATCCTCGTGCCCGAGAAAGGCCGCTGAGTAGCGAGGCGAGTCCGAGGCGCTGTTCGCTCCGCTCATCAGGTTGCCGAACCTGGCAACTAGCAGTGGAAACACTGGCCTGGTAGCACGGCGAAGATCCCTTCCGACCCAAAGGTCGCGTCCGTCCGGTGCATCGGCGCCTGGCTATAACGCCCAGACCTGTTCTGATGTTCTGCTCAACATCAGAACGTTTGGCTGTATGCCAGGGTGTCTTTCGCCGAGGTATATGCGCTGACCGCGGCTGTCGACAAAGCGGGGTAGCCACGAGTACCCCATTCGCGAGATCGACACGTCGATCGAGACCAAGTTTTGTTGTTGTCCTCCGCTTCGTGTTTAGGCCTGTGGGTATGGCCGCGCCGCAAACCGTGTCGGATCGGCTACAAGTCATACCGGCCGACAGCGCGGGCTTCCCTGTTGTCCTCGGACTACCTACTGTAGGTCCGCTACGGCTACCGCTACTGGTAGTGATGCTGCTGCTGCTGCTGCTGCTGCTGCTTCTGCTACTCCTACTCCTGCTGCTCCTGCTCTAGATTGCAAAAACTGACATGGTTTTCGAAGTGCCTCCTGTGACGGCATGAGTCCTAACAACAAGCTCGCGCGGGTTTGAAAAGGCAGGGGTAGCGCGGGGTTTAGATAAGACTCATCTGGGCACTGCAGTACTGAGGTTGTGCATAGTAAGTTTTGTAACGCGCTTTCTAAGATGGTGGCGCGCAGAACCCCATCTTTGCAAACACAATGCTGGAATGACAGGTTTGGATTCACCTGGGTATTGAAGCATTTCCAGCCACAGTTTTTGACACACCTGAAGACATAGCTCGTAGCTGACCACTGCATGTGCCGCAACTGGGCCTCTGGAAGTGTACTTGCGGAAGCCTGGGATGGCTGGAGAGTTCTGTCTTCTCCCGAGGCTGAGATGCTTGCTAAACAGACTTCTGCCCGTGTTAGGCACCAGCTTGGCAAGCGGACAAGCTCTGCCGAGAGTTCAGCTTCAAGCGTCAAGTGCAGCTGACATCTACTGTGCCGAAGAGCTGCAACTTCTCCACGAAGAGCTTCAATCAACTCTTTGCCTGCCTCCTGCTAGTCCGATAACGCTTGGAACGGTGCAATTTTTTGCGCGATCCTTTGCCCTGTCCTGCGCCTGCACGGCAGCAAAAAGCTGACCACGAAGCTCGGCAAACTGAGCACAAACGTCGTGGTTGCCCACATTGCTTTGCTTGCTTTGCAACATGCAAATTCATGCAAATTCCAAAGCAGCTCGGCGATATGAGATCTGCCAGGCACGACATTATCACTGCGAGAACGCTCACGGCTGATACGCGCCGGCTTTGATTACCTTCGGCTGCGGCAATGGTAGGTTGTCTGAGTTTTGGTCTTGGGTGTTTGTTCCCGCCACAAGCGACGTTGGGCCAAACCACTTAGTAGACAGTTGTGCTGATTGTGAATGCTACTCCGCTCCATGTTGCTCACACCTCACCTAGCTTTTTGACACCCCAGGTCGGTACAATTGTTGTCAGATTGCTGCCTCACACCATCTGCCTGCTCCTTGCCTGAATCTCAGCTTCCAACTACAACTCCCGCCGTAGTCGGTGCTCTTCTTCGCTTCGACGTGGCACTTGCACTGCCCGTCTCACGCAATGTATTGCATTTGGGGGTGCGCGTGTTCTGCGAGTTGCATGTGTAGGGGTTTTTGCGACGAGCAGGGTCCGGTCCGCTCGCATTCGCGATCATAGGCAAGGCAAAAAGACTTCAATTCTGCTTGCAATCGTCTGGCTCAGCTGCAAAAATCCATGACAGGCGCTTTGCTTTTGTTCCCTCGCCTTGGCCTGCAATTCTTGCTTGTCCACTTCGGCACGTGCAACGGCCGCGGCGCAGGTCTGCATATTGAGCTGAAAATTCCAAAGGCAGGTACTTTGGCTTCCATGAGATCTCGTATGCTGCACTCTCCGTCCTCTAGCTCTGCCGCGGCTGCTTGCTTCTGTGCCTCCACGTCCTCCCAACTTGCACATAACAAAATATCAGACGACGACAACAACAACAGCAGCACGAGGAAGAAGCAATTGCGGGTTTTCTTCGTCTTCGTCGTCGTCGCAGAAGCAGCGGTAGTGGTAGCAGAAGTGCCTTGCAGTGCCTTGCAAGTTGCAGCCTGGACCTGCCCGGAACAATGAAGCCATCACAACGGTGGGCTACAAGAGCCCTGTGGAGAAGATGAACTCAGAGAGGATTGCCAAAGCTCGTTGGACCACATCCTGGATTTTGACATCAATTCTCATTACTGGCCAAGGCATTGACTGGTTTACAAGCCCACAAGGGATTAACTGCCTATTGGGACCATTGACTACTGGGAAACGGTTTCGTGCCAGCCGGGCCTAAGACTCAAACAACATCTTGAACCCGATGAAGTGTTCACACAAACCCTGAGCAGGTGAGGCATTTCCCAACTCAGTCTTCCTTGTCTGAGCGCATGCAACATCGCGAACAATGGCGAGTCCGGATTGATGCTTCAACCACTCCGGCTCTCCTGCAAAGCCTCCTCCGAGGACTGCAGCTCCTTCGCGAGCTCGTCATTTGTCACCTCCAGCCGGACACTGCACGGCACTGGCACATGCGACACTGCTGATGGTTTTACGCGGCCTTGGACAGCCTGACAGCAGGCTGCTGCCCATGAAAATGCCGTGAACGTATCGAATCCTACAACCAACCCTCCTCGTCGCTCCTTACCACCTCCTTGCTGGTTTGGCTAGGCACTGCCACCCCAAGCACGAAGCTGTGGATAAAAATGCAAGGAAGCATCGTCGAAATCTGTCTCTGGCTGATGCTGCCCATTCTTCAGCTCAAGCAAACCAAAGACTAGAGTTAATCCTACTTGCGCGGAAGTCTGGAGCAAGCTGCCTGCAATTTCTGTGCTGCGAGCATAGATTCCCGGAGCTCGCTCTCATGGTTCTCGACCTGCCGGTCGAAACCCAACTTATTGCGGCCATTGCGCTCGTTGCTTCC